GGGCGCAGGTGGCTGGCACAAAGCCGTTGCCGCCCCTAAGCGTGCCGCCATTCCTGGCTCGGAACCCAGCCGAGTGCGACTGCCGTAAAGGTCACATTAAGGAGCCATTGCTACCTGACTCCCAGTCCGCCACACAACATACACTGGACAACTCGTCAGCTGGCAAACTTTAAAGTCACGACTTTTAGCGCACCGTGATAACTACAAGTGCGTTAGATTGTTTATAGTGCGCTGAGCTGTCGAGCTCATTCTCTATCCCATGAGGTCACCGTCTGAGCCAGTCAATTGTTTGATAAGGCTATCGGAAGTAAATCTATAAGTGCATGCTGGTACACTGCGCAGATGGGTCAGCGACACCGCCGAACTTAATTTTCATTGGCATCTCCTGATAAGCCGGTCCTCGTTGGAGAAGATTGAGCCCCTACTTAGACACCGCAGAACAGAGCTTGCTTGCAAAGCAAAACATACCGGCACGTCCTCATTCCACAGTAAATGCACCGATTCTTAGAGGAAGATCAACGGTAACCGGGTGCCTTCAATACATTTCGACACAGACAACTCTTATCTGAATTTAGAAACATCATGTCTCAACAAAACGAAGACTTTATTGATCGAAGTACAAAAAAGGGTTCCAAAACGGACTAGGGCCAACTATAAGGACCGTTACAATACCAACCCCTTCTCTCACTGCCTTGTGCCCAAGAGACAGGTCTGTGTTTTAAGGAAAATTGGAAAATTGCACCAACCAAATAAGCTATAAGTATTAGATACCTGATTAGAAAACGATTTTCTAAAGAAAAGCAAACATTTCGAAAACTAAACAGCCCGCCTCACATAAGAAGACTCAAGTTTTAGAAGTAGGTAATGTTTTTCCGCACAAATAAATGACTACCTAAAACAGTATAGACAAAGTAACGCAATTGGTGCTTGGGCGTTTTTTCGTGTAGATGGTAGTTTGAGTTATAATTGAACAGCTAGCTAAACATAAAACTCCATTGCTGAAAAAAACATAAGTCACGGCCGAATATGTTCCCGATCAATGCAAAAGTTCCTCTAATAAGTTACT